TAAGAAACAGCTATTCACTAACTAAAATTAAGCCTTCCTTTGGAGAAAAGAAAAAAAAGCTTTCCTTGAGCTCAGGAGCTGTCTCAGCCGGTAAAGCACTTGCCTCGCTCGCCTGGCCACCTGAGTTCAGTCCCCAGAACCCACATACAGATGGATGGAGAGAGCCAACTTAACAGAGTTGTCTTCTGACCTCTACGTGTGCCGGGGTATGCATGCGCACACACAGTAATAAATGAATATGCTTAGGGCAGTCAAGGTGGCTCCGTGGGTAAAAGCATTTGTCACCCAAGCCTGGAGACCTGAGCTCGGTCCCCAGAACCCAAATGAAAGCAGATAGAAAGAACAGACTCTACCAGGTGGTGGTGGCGCACACCTCTAATCCCAGCATTAGGGAGGCAGAGGCAGGCAAATCTCTGAGTTCAAGGCCAGCCTGGTCTACAAAGTGAGTTCCAGGACAGTCAGAGTTTATTATACAAAGAAACCCTGTCTCAAAAAAGAAAAAAACAACAACAACACCCCACAGATTTATCCTCTGTCTACCACATTTATTCCTGGAACACACATAATAATAATGAATTTAATTTTTTTAATTTTGTTTCTTCTTTCTTTAGTTGTTTCCAGAATAATGTAGAAATCCATGTTGCACATATCCAGAGTGGCCTGAGCCAGATGGGAAACTTACATGCCTTTGCAGCCAACAACACCAACAGAGACTGAGCACAAGAGATCTGGTACCCAGCTGCACAAGACCTCAGTCTGAGGAGTCTTTTTCCTCAATCTAAGCTTCCAACACCAGATAACCTAGTGCTGGAAAACCAGGGAACTGTCCATCCAGATATGGCTTTTTAATACACTGTACTGCTTCTTAAACCAGCATTGTGCCGACCAGCATTTATTTATTGTGCTTTTATTATCCAGATGCAGTAGTGTTGCTTATATTTCATGTTTATCAGCAAATATTTTTAACCTGAAACTATCTGAATATACTATTTCATGGAGGAGCGTGCTCACCATTTTTATACATGCATGAATTCTGCTCAGCACACGCAAACGACTCCTGTGACAGAGAACGCAAAGAAGCATGGTCTTTTCCGTGCAGGGTGGAATCCGTCTGAAAATCACCGACTGGTCCAGCGGATTTAGTTGACCATTATGTCTCAGGCTTCAAAATATACATCCTGAGTGTGGGAAGCTGTCCTAGTCTTAAGGAAGCCTCTGGAATATGGATGGGAAATACGGACTTAAGTATATGGTACATATACTGACAGTATGACATGGTTCTATAGATCAATTTATAATAATATTTTAATTTATCATAATTTATAAAAACTTCGTTGTTTATCAGTAGAAAAAAATGAAGGAGCGGGAAGAACTGTATTCTGGAATGCTGGATTTCGGCAAGCGGACTTGGCATGCCTTTCCATGATTCAGGGCAAAAAGTGCTATTGTTAGATTTATTTTAAAAAAGACTGATTATACACTATTTTCATATTTTTTGTTTATTTGCACAACTTTAAACCAGATTACTGGTTAAAATCCAACAGTACACAATTTATAAAGTAAAAATATTTTATAAGGAAAGCATATGACCGGTTTGAATTACAGAGAGAGGTTTTGTTTTAGTTTTTTCTTGTTTTGTTTTTTCTTTTTTTAAGAAAAAACCCTGCCTAAAATAATCTTGTAAAAAGTATGTATTTTAAAAATTTTGTTTTAATATAGAATATTATAAAGCCAAAATATAATTGTTTTCAGATTTGGAGTTTAAAATATAACTATAGAGGTGATTCTGATTCTTTGATGTCTCATAAAATGAGGCTTTTTGTATATTAATGTACAATAAAACTGAAATAAGATTATTTTCCATTTGAAATTTTTGTATAGTTTAAAAGCGCTTCTGTGTTCTTTGTTGGTATTGGGCCACTGCAGATCTTTAGTGCAGAGTTTATATTTAGCTAAACTGTTATGTTAATTAAGAAATGCATAAATCTTTTATTCTTAATATTTGTAATTCTAAATAAATCGATCTATGAAATTTAATATCTGCATTCTCATTTTATTACAAGTTGATCATTAATTCTATTTAAAATGTTTCAGAGGGCTGGTGAGAGAGATAGCTCAGCAGGTGAGAAGTGCTTCATGCCAGTCTGGCAATCTGAGTTTGATCCCTGGGACCCACATGGTGCCAGGAAAGGAGTGATTTCTGTTAGTTGTCCTGTGATCCTGTGACTGGTGCAGGCACACACACACACATACACACACACACACGCAAATAAATAAATAAAAGTAATATTGTTTTTTATATCCAAATGTGTGCACTCCATTAATCCCAGCACTTGGGACCCAGTGGAGACAGGTGCATTTCTGTGAGTTCAAGGCTACCCTGTCCTACATAGAGAGAACTTGCCTCAAAAAGCAATTTTTTAAAAATGTTTTCAAGAATTACAGTTTCCACTCAGTTTTAGGAGATAATGCTACAGATCAGTTACCAGGCCTTTTATGTTTTTGTTGATGTTGCTTATTTTAAGACAGATCCTCACTATGTTGCCCAAGCACGCTTTGCCGCTGGAACTCAAGACAGATCCCACCATGCCCAGCTCTAATCATCTTGAAAAACAACACCATCCAGTGTTACTTCAGGGAGAGGTGGTTTGCTTTGGTTTTCGTCTGTTAGTAAGTCACTGTGGAAACACTAAGCAAGTAAATTATTTCTCCTATGCTATGAACCTAGCAGAAGACTGAATGTAATATGTCCTGCCTAGAAGTGGGAAAATGGTTTTGACGTGTTTGTTATATTATACATTGTTTAAAGCTCACTTGTCACACTTGAGTCAGAGCTCACTTATAGCACCGTGTGTCCTTCAGTGCTGGAGGATTGCAGAGCCTGTGCCTGAGAATATTGCTGGATATGTTTCTGTTAGCACTGTCTAATTCTAGGAGTCGTTTTGAGCTGTGCTGAGCACGCATTTGCAGCTTTACGGCAGTTCCCAAATGGAGCCAACAGAGAATGTAAAAGCAGATAATACCTATTAAGTTTTCTTTATTGAGCTGGCCTGGTGAGGGTAGGCCCATAATCCCAGCTCCTTGGGAGGCTGAGGCAGAAAGATCACAAGTTTATGGTCAGCCCGGGCTACAGAGTGAATTCAAGACCAGTCTGGGCAACTTGGTGAGACCCTGTCTCAAAGAGTTAAATAGGGGGCCTCAGGATTGCTTGGAGACAAGAGTGCTTGCCCAGCCTGTACGGGGCTGGCCTCAAACTTGCTGATAACTGAAAACGGCCTTGAACTTCTTGATCCTCTTGCTTCCACTTCCCCTCTGTGCTGGGATTACAGACGTGGCCTCCGCAGCAGCTTTGACTCTGTCTTCATCACTGCCACTGTCTGCAGCTGGGATGTCACAGCCATCTCTCCCTCCACTTAGCTCTCAGCACCTACTCACCTCCACATTCAGACAGGGTGGCTTCTTAAAATGCAGAGTTGGCCATGTTATCCCTGTCTAGGAATACCTTAAAGTCTATGACCCCCAGGACAAATTCAGAAGTCTGAGCAGACCTATAGAGACATGCCCAGTCCACAGTCCAGCCTCCACTTCACTGCCTCTCCACTGGGTCCTTCGGCCACAGACAGCGCCTTTGTTCCCCTTCACCGTAACTTCCATCCATTCTAACTGATCTTTCCAGAGGGGGAGTTCTTGACAACAACATAGCCAGAGTGCCTCAGACAACCTACCTCCCCCAGCATGAGCGGTAACTCTGATTTTATATCTCACAACATATGTGTGTATACATACATATACACACATAGCTACATCTGCTATACATATATATATACATATATATAATTTGCCTCCGTTCCATAAAGGGGGCACTATTTTGGGCTTTACTGTCTATTTTATTTCCGAATCCTCATGATACTGAGTCCTTGCCTGCCCACAGGCACTAAATAGCATGTGTGTGATGAATTAGTAAGTGTCTAAGCACCATTGTCACTGGAATGAATGTATGTTTTTCCGTGACAACTTTGAAAGATAATAGCTTGCATATGGAAGTTCTGATTAGAAGCCTTCTTTTAAACGGGTTCCATTTCTTAGCCCTAACTAAAAGGATCAACGTGACAAAAAGGAGACGTGAAGGTTGATTGGACTGAAGTCATCCTATCTTTGAATCGTGATCATTGCTGTGTTTAAGTTCTGTGACCATGAACCATTATTTTCTCTCTTTTTGTGTGTGCATGGCTGTTTTGCCTGTATGTTCATATATGCACAGTTGTGTGCCTTGTGCCCAAGGAGGCCAGACAATATCAGATTTGAAACTGGAACTAAGGACAGTGAGCCACCATGAGGGTGCTGGGGACCAAGCCTGGGTCCTCTGCAAGTGTTCTGAGCTGCTGCACCATCTCTCTAGCCCCTGATTACACGACTTCTCTTTGACAGGGATTCTGACTGAGAGCTTTTCCATCCTGTCACTGGATTTGCGTCATCTCGTTTGGGCTAAGCCGTCATCTAAGTTGTCACAGTTTTAGGTATGAGGCTCTGATGGTGAGCCCTCCAACTAGCATACCAATATTTGAACAGATCTTAACTTAGTCATTTACAAATACTGGGAGTACAAAGCTAGAAAGAAATCTGAAACCAGAATACTCATGAGGGTTACCTACTTTGGACAAGCAAAACTAAGCGTGGTGCCCCTTATAGTTCATATGTCGGTCCCCAGCTGGTGGGAAGGATTAGGAGGTGTGGTCTTGTGAAGTGTGTTTTCTGGCTTCGAGGCCACCCCCAGGACTCCCTCCTTATTTTCAGGTGAGAGCTCTTCCTGCCATCATGCCTTCCCATCCCCAATCACAGACACTAACCTGAAACTGAAAGACCAATTGAACACTTCGCTTTCTGGGCTGCCCTGCTCATGGTGTTTTATCACAGCAATAGAAAAGTAACAACACAAAAAGCTTTTTAAAAGTTTTTTTCTTACATTTATTTACTGATTTTGCATATGTGTGTGGGTGCACACCACAGCACCCGTGTGGAAGTCAGAAGCCAGGTTGGGGAATCACTTCTCTCCTTCCACAGTAGACGCTGGGGATCTAACTCGGGTCGTCGGGCTTGGTGGCAAACATGTTTACCCCTGCTGAGCCACCTCAACGGCCCAGCAAATAAGCTTTTAATTTAAATTCTCAATGCACTGTACTTACAGAAACTTCCCTTGAAAATGTTTTTTTCACAGCCATCCAGTATGTGCTCGGCAGCTGTGCACCGAGGCACGATGGTTAAGAGCTGCCCCTAACAGGGTTCGTTTCTATGTGAGGACACTAGTGAGAAACATTTAGTAATCCACTCCTGTTGCACCGGAAACATAATAACAAGTGCTAAGAAAAATGGTGGTCAAAGTAACCGGTACAAACATTAATACTGCTTAGACAAAGTTTAGGTTTCCGAAAGGTGGGAGTCTGAGCTGTTTTGAAAAAGGAACTTTTTTCACTGAGTCCCAACCAGAATGGAATGAGTGAGACGGAGAAGCATACTGTGGGTGGATGATTTTAAGGTTTGTGTAAGCTAAGGATGGTGCATTTATTGGGAGCATGCTTGAAAGGATTCTACAATCTGGAGGCTACCACAGACTTCTAAACAGAGCCATTTCTTTTCTGAGTGAGTGGGGAATGAGAGACATGGGGCTCCTTAAAGAACTTGAATGTAATGTCCTTCCTGATGAGGGAGGAAGGATGAGATGGCAGGCCAGATGAAACACCAGTCAAGTGAGGGGCAGGGGACCCTGGCCAGGATGCAGAGTTTCAGGTAGGAAGAATAAGTTAAAGAGATCTATGGAAATGGCTATAATTAGCAACAACATGTCATATCCTTGAAAGTGGCTAAAGTAATGGATTCTAAGTGTCACCACAGAAAAAGGTCATACATGTAAGTGAGGTCATACGTGTGTCAAACAGCTGGATTTGGATATACTGTTGTACATCATACAATTTTAAACAAAAACAGCAGCCTCCAGTCGTGTTGGCACACTAGCAGTCCCAGTGCTCAGAAGACGAAGGAAGGAGGACAGGAGCTCAGGGTCCTTCCTCCTTACCTACACAGCAAGGTCAAGAACAAAACAAAAAGGACTCCGTAAAAAGGGTGATAAATTTGGGTTATTAGGGTAGAGTTGGGATGTGGTAGAATGAGTGACTAGATTGAAGGTCCTGGAGGGGCCATGAGAAGACAGCAGCTGCCAAGGAGAGGGGGAAATTGAATCAAGCTGAAGGTCCTGACGAAGAAAACAAGTTCTGAACGATCAGTCTGAACAATTAGAATAGAACAGGGGGTTATGGACCAAACTGAATGCGCAGACTTGGAGATTTACAGGTACCCCTGAGTGGAAGGATGGGTGGCTACTGAGAACAAGCCACGGGTAAAGGCTCACGGTGAAGAGGAGAAACCTTCAAGAGAAAAAATCCAGAAGCATCATCAACAAGGCCATGGCCAGTCAGGGTTGGGGTAGCGTTCTGGTCCGTATCTCCCGGACCCCTCTGAGTACATTGTGAACTCTCCCAGAATCCTCAAAAATTACCTAAGGCAGAAAAGATATGTTCTTCCCACGAGTCCAACTTTGAGCAGATATCTTCGGAGACAGGGGAATAGGTGTCAAAACTCTGACCTTGAGAACCAGCCGCACAGAGGCCTCCTCCAGCCCTGCTGGCGTCGGGAAGGCAGTTCATTGCTGCCTCCAGAGGCAGCTGGGGCTTCAAACATCTCGCTTCAGTCCCAGGAGCAGAGCGCTGGAGGAACACTTCCTGCCTGGATGATAAGGGCTGCAATGACTTCCCACTCTGGCGCCTGGACTTGGCCCGTCTGTTCTGGAACCACACCTGGGAGACAGGAGGACAAAGTGACTCAGCTGCTCTGAGTTGGAGTTTTTGTTGTTGATCCCCGAAGGATGACCTTGACCTTGACCTTTTGATTTTCCTTCCTCCACTTCCCCAGAGCTGTGGTTACAGGCACCAGCCACCACACCTGGTTTCTATGGTGCTGGGATAGTACCCTGCATGCCAGGCAAGCACTCTACAAAGTGACTGTATCCCCAGACTGGCTTGACCTTCTGGCGCTAACACTGCTCACAACTAACAATGTAAATTCCAGCTATTATTAGCCACACTCTCTGCTAAGAGCCTGTGGTTTACAGAAAGCATTTGAGCTGGTGTTTGATGGTCAGAGCACCAGATCTTCCCAGCCATTCTCAGATGCAAAGCTGGAATGGTACTAGTTCTATCTGCACTTAATATATTGGTTTGTTTGTTTCTCATTTTACGTATTAAAAAAAAAACACACAAAGCCAGGCGATGGTGGTGCATGCCTTTAATCCCAGCACTTGGGAGTAGGAGGCAGGTGGATCTATGTGAGTTTGAGGCCAGCCTGGTCTACAGAGCGAGTTCCAGGACAGGCTCCAAAGCTACACAGAGAAACCCTATCTCAAAAAACCAAAAACCAAAACAAAATAAAGCCAGGATCTTTGGAGCCCAGGCTAGCCTCAAACTGGATATACAGGCAAGGAAGACGTTGAATTTCTTGATCCTTTTGCCTCTAGCTTGTAAATGCTGCGATTTCAGGCATGTGCCACCTGTAGCGTCTGCCTACACTTTATTTGGGACATTTCTGATGAGAAAAGAGGTCACCCAAAGTCCTTAGGCAACAAGGTTTCAGTGACAGACATTTAAATTATTTAGAGTCCATTTTTGAATGTCTGACTCCCCTATCAAAGCAAGTAGGTATTTTTTCCTTAATAAATCTCAATTCCATGTGTAAATTTCTTAGCCGGTTCTCTACGAATACTGAAGGTGTCCTGCTTAGGAAGCCTCTGGTGACAACTGTTGAAAGTGACAGCTGACGTTGGGTGGTGGTGGTGGTGGTGCACACCTTTAATTCCAGAACTCCTGGGAAGCAGAGGCAGGCGAGTATCTGAGTTGAGGCCAGCCTGGTACACAGAGTGAGTTCCAGAATGTCTAGGGCTACACAGAGAAATGCAGAGAGAGAGAGAGAGAGAGAGAGAGAGAGAGAGAGAGAGAGAGAGAGAGAGAGAGAGAGAGAGAGAGAGAGAGAGAAAGACAGTTGAATAATTACCCAAAGTACAAGGGGAAAAGGGGGCCCACAGGCTCCTGGGATTAAATGAAGCCTCCCACATAAAACTGCATTTAGGCATAGACTAACAGATAAGAAGGCAAGCTTCTAATCTGAGTATGGGGAGACAAACCTGTAAACCTGTAATCCAAGCAGCCAGGAAGCTGAGACAGGAGGATTGTGAATGCAAATCCAGCTTGACTACCCAGCATGAACCTGTCTCAATCATACACACACACACACACACACACACACACACACACACACACACACAAATGTAGCACGATTAATAAAAACCCAGAGACAGATATTTGGGTTCAACCTGAAGGTCAGAAAAGCAAAACAGTCACTCACTGGCTCTTACCTCTACCTCAGTCCGAAAATGGTGATCCTGCCTTCAGGAATCCTCAGAATGAGACTGAGAGCTGTCTCCTCCTGTTTTATAGTCCTCTCTAGAGCTGGGATCAAAGGCATGTACCACTACCTCCGGGTTTCTTTGACCAACTAGTGTGGCTACTGGGATTAAGGGTGTTTGTCACCACTCCCTGGTCTATAAGGCTGACAAGGGTGGCTGTTTTACTCTCTGATCTTCAGGCAAGCTTTATTAAAATACAAATGAAATATCACTACACACACACACACACACACACACACACACACACAAAAGAGGGAAGCAGCTTCTTCCAGCAACCTCAGGATTCTGAACCTAAATGACTTAGGACAATAAACTCACTTTGCACTTGATTTTTCAAAGTTACAAGAAGTCCCTTGCTTGTCTTAAAGTACCTGGTGACCCAACCCTGCTCTACTATTTAAAATCAAAGTCAGAGGAAGGCTCACGACCACGGCCCCTCCTTTGTCTTCTTACTGGACACTGGAAAAAGTGCTCAACTACTTCCCGTCGCTTTCCTGCGGGAACTTTTCGAGGGGGTCAGTAATCGTCCTAGCAGCCCAAATTACACGGTAACAAAGCCGTTACTGGCATCCCTATTTAGTAGTCTAGTATCATAAGGTTCAAAGAGAGTAACTTGTCCACCCCCCTATCCAGAAAAAAATGACTCAATAAGCCTGTGACTCCGCAGGACCTCCACTCTAGCACGCACCTGCAAACGCGACTCACCTGGATCCTGGACTCGGGGAGCAGCGTGAGCGCCGCTAGGCGCTCCCGCAAGTGGATGTCGGGGTACATGGTCTGGCGGAAGACGAGTTCCAGCAGCTGCAGTTGCTCGGAGCTGAACGATGTGCGCTTGCGGCGCTGGGGCGCCGACGGGGCAGCCGCGCCTTTGGGGGGCCCGGGCGGATCCAGGCCGGCGGGGTTCTGCGCTGCGGGTCCCGGGCTTCCGCTTGGAAAGCACGGCGTGGCCGCTGGAGCGCGGGGATCCTGGGGCGCAGGGGGCAGCCCGGCGGCAGGGCGCGTGGATGGAAGCAGCGGTCCTCCGAGGTGCGCGGCCGGGAAGGCGGGGAAAGCAGCACCCTCGGCAAACTGGAGTTGTTGGGACCCTGCTGCGGCCATGGCTCCCGGACACCTCCCGTGACCCCCGTGCTCCTTCAGTTATAGCCACCCGGGGCCGGGGAGGGGGCGGCGGCGCCATCAAAGGCGTGGGCGCGGGGAGGCCACGTCTCCTTGGGGTGCGAGCCCGCCCCAGCCCCGCCAGACGCTGCGGGAATAATCGCTTCCGCTGACCTGGGGACCGAGGGAGGGAGGCGCGAACTTGAGCCCAGCCACTCCGTCCCTTCCCCGCCCATCCGCTCGCCAGCCCGACCACCAATCCACATACCACAACCGATATGCTTCGGAGGGGACGCCCCAAGTGAGGGCCACTTTTGAACAGAGCACCTTCTTCTGGGTCGGAAAGCCCCCCTCAAGAGCGCCCGGATCACTCCAGAGGCCGGGTTCTCAGGTCCCATCCCTGAGCCTGGCCTGCTATCCCCTGTCACCATCAAAGGTACTGTTTACCACCCCCGCTATGTGCTAGACCTTACTCCAGGTTGGTCAAACAGCCTGGCCCTGCCCTCTGCCAAACCATCCTGACACATCCTGAATCCGAGGGGGGTGAAGATAACGAGACCTCAGAGAGGGCAGGCATCCTGAGCAGAAACGATGCTCCTGCCTGGAATATCTGTGACATGTCCAGAAGGCTGCTGTAAACTGGGCGGGTTGAATTGGACCAGGTTAGCCCTCCTAGAGTCTGACAGTGCTCAGAAGAGGAAAATAAAACCGTATCTTGAAGTTTCTGCGCCCTCTAATGCCATTACGATTTCCTTTGTCCCCTGAGGCTCATTTGAAGTTCCCATTTTGTTTAAATGCTGGTTTGTAGTTTGCGGCTTCTGCATGCATTCATGTATTCATATAAGTCTTCCCTCACTCCTCTGGTCTCAAGGCTAGAACCTAGAACCTGGAATAATAGCCTAAGCAAGTCCTCCACTGAGATTGATATATATATCTCCGCTGTCTTCTTTTGTTTGGAAGTGTGTGTGTCAGAGAGAGAGAGAGAGAGAGAGAGAGAGAGAGAGAGAGAGAGAAATGGGGGGGGGGGGATTTCGCTAGGCAGCGCTTTTCCACCTTGAGCATCTACCTCATACAACACCGCAAAAGCTTTGGCCAGACTCTCAGTGAGCATCTGTTGAATCAGAAACCAAGTTGCTCAGTAGAGAAATCAGAGGCCTGCCACAGAAGGGCAGAGAGAGGCACCGGAGGGGCTGCTTCTACCGTCTCAAAGGGGCTCTCCACCGAGGGAGGGGTGTTCCACAGCCCAGGACTGCTCCTGCTGGTTCTACAATGCTAATAGGAGGTCTCAGAGGAAAGGGCATCTTCTCTTATGGGCGAGTCGTTGAGTACACCGTGTTTGCTCACGTGCATGTGGGTCCCCACGGAGGCCAACAGAGGACAATGGGTCCACTGTAACCAGGATACGGGACATACACCATCTGACATGGTGCTGAGAACTGTACCCCTGTCCTCTGGAAGAGCAGCAGATGGGTGTACCTTCACGATGGGCAATTATTCCAGGTGCCAAAGCACAGAGTGATCTGTCAGCTGCTCAAAGTTCTAGACTTGAGTTGTCCATCAGTTGGGTAGCAATAGGAAAATGTCCTGGTCTCCTGCATTACATAGATCCTGAGACCTCCAGACCTGCTTTTCCATCTAATCCAGTGGTTCTCAATCTTTTTTTGGCGGCGTGGGGGCGGGGGGGGGGGGGGGGGTCAAGACATGATTTCACTGTGTAGCCTTGGCCGTCCTGGAACTCACTTTGTAGACCAGGCTGGCCTCGACCTCAGAGATGCATCTGCCTTCTTACTGAGTGCTGGGATTAAAGGCATACACCATCACTGCCTGACTGGCTCTCAATCTTCTTAAAGCTGTGACCCTTCATACAGTTCTTCATGTTGTGATGACCCTCAGCCATAAAATTATTTTTGTTGTTACTTCAGAACTGTAATTTTGCTACTGATATGAATCGTAATGTAAATATCTGATATTCAGGATATGGGACCCTGTGAAAGGGTCATTCAGCCCCCCAAAGTTGTCAGGAGTCACAGGTTGAGAGTCACTAATCCTTTCCCTCAAACACACACATGCTCTCTCTCTAACACACATACATATATGTACACACATATATGTGCATACATGCTCACGAGCACACACACATAACACACACATTCATACTCAAGCGTGTGCACACATACACGCCCATACCCCTCCAACCTCTCTTTTTTAATTTCCTTTTTTATTTCTTTGCCAGATTTTTAGACTCAGAATATGGAACAGGAAATCAGATTTTTTTTTATTTTTCTATGCCTTCTTCTATCCTATACATATATCAGGGTCTTGTGCATCCCAGGCTACCTAGCCTCAAACTCTTCATGAAGCCAAGGGTGACTTTGAACCTGATCTTCCCACCTCCACTGCACAAAGCTTTCGTTATAAGCATTGCACACCATGCCTGATTTTATGCAATGCTGGAGATCAAACACGAGGCCTGTGTGCGCTAGGCAAGCACCGTAACAACTGGCTACATCTTCCAGCATTTGTTTATTTATTTAGAGACTGGGTTTCACTGTGTAGCCCAGGCTGGCCTTGAATTTGAGATCTACCTGCCTCAGCCTTCTAAACATGAAATTTCATACCTACTTTTATTCTTTTTTTTATGTGATGCTGAGGATCAAATCCAGGGAGGGCCTTGCACATACCAACAAGGTTTTTACCACTGAATTACATGCCCAGTCCATCACTCATTCTTAATCCATTATTTAAAGTGAATTGTTTAAAGGCCAAAAACAATTATGGCTATGCTAACCTGTACTTATTATGTAAGTTCTTTTATAGAAGGTGTGTGCGTCCCCATCTTACTCTTGAAGAAATACGCTACGATCCAGATCAAAGCCCAGAAACCTGAAGAGATGGTGTGGCCAAACGATGTGACTCCATGGTAACATTAGACCCCAGTCTTCTTAGGAGGTGAGAGACACGGGTCTCTGCCACCCAGGAGCTGCTGTCCTTCATCTGCAGTGATGGCTGCTTCATAAATAGATACACTGTGAAGCATACGGATGCGTAAAGGCAGCAACAGGCCAGTGCCCTGGTTACTGAATAGTAGATTGAAGTTCAAGGCGAGCTCAGACAGCCGTAGCCGAGATTAAGGTCTGGATGTGCCCACTCCAAGCCCAGAGTCAGCTCCTGTGATGTGCTAAGTGCTTCGGGCCACTACTCTATTTGGTGTTGATAACATCTGTTGAAACAGACACAGGTGAGGACTGGGTGATACAGAAGGCAATTCTCAGACACACCTGTGCCATGGGGAAGGCCACCCATGTGCTTGGCCACCCAGAGCCACAGCCGGGCTGGGACAGACAAGACCATTGTTGCTGTCCCTTCAGCATCTTCCACATTCCCCCGCCTGACTTTTTCCATCCCCAACACCCAAATATCAGAGGCCTGTCTTCCCTCCCCAAGTGCTAAGTGCTCTCTTCCCCTGCTCTCTTTGTAGTTGGAGTTGGGCCCTCTCTCTGGGCTGCCCAGGACCTGGTGGAGGAACCCAGGGTGTTTATTAAAGGGGAAACCAGGAAAAGGCAGCCCAGGGGAGTCAACGGCTCTACTTCCCCCTTGAGATCTCAGGGGCTCTTCGTCCCTTTGATCCTGGCCTCACTTTGATTTCCCCTGCTCTGCTCCCCACCTTCAGTTTCTGAAGTTTATTTCACAGTCGGTGGTTAGAACAGACAGAGACGGTGTCTTTCCAAAAGGCATAATGTGGCAAGCCATTAGGAGCCTTTCTGTGGTGTTCTCTGGGCGGAAGGTATAAATTCATATGACTAACACAGCATCACTTTTGAGCCTGGCATGGGGACTCTTCAAAAGGAATGGCATCTTTTCTGCTTGCAATTATTTGTGCCAGTGCTTCTGGGTAGGAAGGGCTCCTCTGGGGGAGTCTTTCATGAACCGATTTATGCAGCTAACCAATAAGGTGGAAAACACCCCAGAAAGAAAGCCCTGGAAACAAAGATCTGAAAAAAATATCAAGATACCTGAAGTCGGGGCTGGAGAGATGGCTCAGAGGTTAAGAGCATTGCCTGCTCTTCCAAAGGTCCTGAGTTCAATTCCCAGCAACCACATGGTGGCTCACAACCATCTGTAATGGGGTCTGGTGCCCTCTTCTGGCCTGCAGGCATACACACAGACAGAATATTGTATACATAATAAATAAATAAATATTAAAAAAAAAAAAGATACCTGAAGTCAGGTGTGCTGGAGCACCCCTGTCATCAGCAAGACCCTGGCCAAAGCATCAGCAAGAAAGAATATTTGGTCCTCGAATCCATCGTCCGACTTTTTCTGGAACACGCCTACTGAGCCCTTGAGTGGCTGGATGGCTTTAACCACACCTGTGCAGCTCACGGGACTCACCTCCCACTTGGAGATCTGTGGACTCCCACTCAACCCCCTCCTATTAGGAGCCCCAAATATACTTTCACTTCATCTTGTCACTTTTACAAACAGCACCATAGACCAGCCTCTTTTTAACTTGTTTGCTTGGGGAATTGATTAAGCTCATTAACACTGAGATGTTGGTTGCTAGCTACCATTTCCCACTAAAAGGAAAAAAATACTCTGAGGAGAAACAGCCCATTCTAAGGTTGAAACAGCAAATATTTCGGCCTGGAAATTTTAGGTACAGAAAAAAATGAGAAACAGTAGCAAGCAATGGAGGAGAAGGTACTCTTAAAAGATAATCTGGGGACGGGCAGACGGCTCAGCAGGTTGAAGAGTTTGCTGCCAAGGACGGTTCCTGCACACTGACCTCTGACTTCTAGAGCTGGGATGAGCATGCACACTGCACACACACGTGCGCACGCACACACACACGCACACACATGCACACACACACTCTAAATGTAACAACAACAAGAATTTTTTTTTAAAGAATTAACTGATTTGGCCTGGAATCAATTGCCTAGCATTACGAGACCCCAGCTTAAGTTCTCAGAGCCGTAAGAAGCAGGAAGAAGCAGAGGAGAAAGATGGAGAGAGGAGGAGAGGAAAAGGGGGAGAAGGAGGCAGTGTTGGCTGTGACAATGGGAGAACACTTACCTACCATATGTGGGAACTTGGATTCCATCCCCAAGCA